GAGTCAGTCTTCTGATCATCTTCAGTGACAATATCATTATAAAATGAGGTTAATTATGCCAATAACGCAAAAATTCGAAATATTTTCCATCATTGATCCTTGCTTGATTATTTCCACGATACAAGTCAAATTTCCGATATGATTCTCAATACAATAACACAGCAAATTACCGTCGGCATTAGCGTTACCCAAAGCGTACCACGAGGAGGTTGCTGATCGGATACGCTTCGCGCGCGCGCGTTTTGCTTTAACCACCAATAACTCGGTCAAAAAAAATCGCACAGCATTCACTAAAAAAGCAAATTGTTGAGAATTGTATGAGCTTTAACGTCGTGGAATCGGTTTTTGACAAAAAAAATTTTTCTGATCCATGCACGTTGCCCAATTTGGGGAAATTTTTTCATTTCCGGATTGGTCCGTTCAATGGAGGATAACTCAAAGTTAAAAATGATACGGGAGTTTTCTGCGAAAATTCAGAAACTAGAAGATTCAAGCTTCAAAACGCTTTTTTTAAAGATTTTTTTCGTCCATTTTTCGCAGAGATACAGCCGCTCAAAGAACACTCAAAAATTGACCCAAAATTTTCTATCCCTTAATTTTGACGCGTAGTGTAAAAATTAATTCTAAAAAGCATAAAAATATTAAAAAGAAAACACACTAGCAAAAATTTAATAACAAACTATGTTTAAAAAGTATTCGCTTTATCGTACACAATTTCCACTTTCCTTTATCCGGTACATTTGGGCTTTTATTAAAGCCTTCTTTATTCTGTAACATGTTTTGTAGGAAGACCACCAAACTGTATTTGAACTGTTGATAGCTAGGAGCTATACCTATTACGATATCATCTTCGTTAGTAGCATATTTAATTGTAATAAATGTTATAGCTAGTAAAATTAAAGAAAATAAAATAATTAGTATTTATATAATAAGAAAGATTGTAAAAATGTAAAAGATTAGGTTAAATAATTATTAAAGCGAGGGATATATACAAAGTAAAATACAGTATATAATTACAAAATCTTGTCAGAAATATATCAAAGATTCAAAGTTGATATAAGACTTTTGACATTGATTTCATGTTGATGCACAAAACGTTCTAGGAGCATCCTAGATATCCTTAAAATATTTTAAATCTTTTATCAGAACATCACTAGATATATTTAAGACGATTCTAGGATGTTTTGTGTTATTTGGATAGGTTGTTGCTCGTTGGATAAATGGCAGTATTTTTATCAAAACTTATTTTCTATTAATAGTTTTAATTATTCACAAACATTATCACAAATTTTTATTATTTATTAAAAAAAAAAAACAATTAACACACCGTACAATGTGCGGGATAGAAAAAGATAGCAAAATGCCTGACCTAGTCACTCACAGAGCTGCCAGCCGGTAGACCGGGCTCATACGCACCAATCAAAAATCGCGTATATACAGGGTGTCTGGCAATAATCGCCCCACCGGTCATATACAGGTAGAGGAGGTCAAATCGAGTAGAAAAGTCCTTTACCATTTTTTAATTTTCATAATAAGTACTGAGTAATTAACGAAAAAAGATCGGCGAATCCGCGCGAGTAAAGCGCGCGCGGTGAGAAGGACGTCCCACTGCTACGCGATCACTAGGACACAAGGATCTAGCGTTACGCGCCGCTCGTATGTTGCCATTGGGCGCGTTCAGCAGAACAAACCGCTTAGTAGCAATCGAACGTGATTGGTTCTTACTTTCAGAACCAACTAATTAACAGTCGAGATTCAGCGGAAAATCTACAACTGTTGAGTCTGCTGAACGCGGCCATTGTCATTTGTAGAGCGCTCCTCCCAACGCTTCATCGCGCGCCTAGTGATCGCATAGCAGTGGGATGTCCTTCTCGCTACGCGCGCTTTACTTGCATGGATTCACCAATCTTTTTTCGTTAATTACTTAGTACTTATTACAAAAATCAAAAAATGGTAAAGGACTTTTCTACTCGATTTGACCTCCTCTACCTGTATATGACCGGTGGGGCGATTATTGCCAGACACCCTGTATACTGCGCAAAGCGCTCAATCCAGACGAGATTGCTAATGTGGTGCGCTGCTTAATTAGTTGTGCTGAACATTACTGAACGCTAACAATGAACGAGAAATAGCAACAGAGAGTTGTAATCTCTCTTTCTCTCTATCATTATCTGCCGTTCATCGCCCAGTGACGCTCATTGTGAACGCAAACAATCAAATGACGAGCAATATTTATGTTCAACAAAAGCATTATATGCACTTTATATGTATAAATTTTGTGTATCTATATAACACAGGATGTACAAGTATATATTGAATTTTGGTACAGATAATGAAAGAAATTGTAAAATTATAATATTTGGATTGAAATTCATTCATCAATCATCATTTAATGAATAATCATAGTTTCATAAATCTCTAATTATTCGTCAATATTTTATTTTTATTCAGAATTCATAGTTTTCAATAAATTTTGATTCATAAAGTATTATTTATTTATAAATCATATATTATTTCGCTAACTTATTTTGTTAACCAATTGGTATATAATAGATTTAACTGCTATTTATTTGAAAGGCAAATATTTCATGTATATGGAAAAATCTGTTACTAAAGAATTATTATGATATAAATTTTAAATAATAATAAATTGTTTAAATATGAAGTTGTGAAACAGATATATTCGGAAAATATTATATATGTATACAAATAGCTAAATAACGATCTATGAATAGGAATATGTAATTAAATATGCTCTCGATCAAAATTTGAAAATTAATTACGATTATGAATGTCAGCCTTAGTATCACTGATTTTTTCTAAATCAAGTGTTTTTGCCCGTGTTACATGTGAAATAGGAAAAAATATAATGTAAAAGTAGTTATGGATAAAGATATATTCTTCTTAGTATTTCAAATTTACACGGTCAATTACCAAAAAATGTGGTCCCGTAGGTGAGTGACTCGTCGTCGGTGTAGTTGTTGCTCGCAGTATTAAAGTGAATGCGCTGTAACGGGTTGCAAGCGGTTCTCATTCAGACACAAAATGGTCAAGCAAGGTCATAAACAGATGTGAATAAATTTGTTAGTTTTTTTTTGTACTTGTCTTTCATTAATCAAAAAGCTCTTACATTCACAACTAGATTAGTACAATTATAAAATGTTATAATTTAGTATAATTTTACAATATAAATATATGCAGGGTGTTCCAGAGATAGTGGTCTAAAGGAAACCTAGCGATAGGAGACATCATTATCAATCCCCTGAATGCAATATAGGGTTATCCAAAATCCAATGGTTTAGAAGTTATTCGAACTTTTGTGATTTTTGAGATTTTTACTACCTTTCCTTATAAAAATCAGCACTGTGCTAAAACTCGATGGATTCAGCTGAAATTTTTAATAATAACTAAAATATTTTTCTACTAAATAAGTTACAGTAGAGTCTCATTAACCCAATCTTTAAGGCCGCCAGCGACTAGTCGACAGTGCGCAAAGGGCCTTAACGAGTAGATTTCTTAATGAGGCTGTACTGTAATTTATTTAGTAGAAAAATATTTTACAGTTCGAATAACTTCTACAGTTCGAATAACTTCTAAACCATTGAATTTTGGATAACTCTTTGCGTTCAGGGGATTGGTAATGATGTCCCCTATTGCTAGGTTTCCTTTGGAACTACTGTCTCTGGGACACTCTGTATAAAAAATAAGGTAAATTATGTTTTGAATGATAAATTTTTACTATTTAACAAAGATTTATTTGTTGTGTTTATGCGTAAATTATTTTATTATGATAATGTTCAAAACAATTATTAATTTTTTATATTAAATCAGCAACGAATGTATCTACAATGATATTAAAATATTAAAATTATTAAAAAGTAAAATTAAAAATAAAAAAAGTTAAAATATTTTAAAAAATAAAAAATAAATCCATTTAGAAAAAGGAAGAGAAAACGATAGTTTGATTAATACTAAAAATTTTAAATTTAGATTTATACGTATTTTATACGAAAAAGAATAATTTATATTTTTATATAAAAGAGATAAATATCTTTTCAAATAACAAATATTTTTTAAAATTAGCAGCATTAATTGATTAAACATATAAAAAATGTATAGTACATAAATATTTAAAAAAGTATTAACCCATAATTAAATACAAAGATTTATAAATATTTTTATTTGTTACGTTATACTATATGTTTCATTACAATCGAGCGTTCTTAATCTATGAGATATATATACTAATATATAAAATGTATTCAAGATGAAATAGATTCTCATATCAATGTGAGTATAAGTAAAAATATTATTAATAGAGTGCTTATATTGTTCCAGTCTTCATGAAATATTCGTCTATAATCTATAATATGGTATTCTGTTACATTGCTTCGACGTGGGCAATGACAGACCAATCGTATGTAGCATATACCTATAATTATGCGCGAACAAACTCGTAGGAATACTGTATCAATTATACATATATAATATAATTTAACATTAAAAATTTTTATTACAGGATCATAAACAAATGATTTTTTATGGGAAGTAATATTTCAGCGATCGCTTCTGAAAAGGTCTAAACGGTCGTAATGTTGCACTTAAATTTGTTCAAAGACAAGGAGGTCTGGTTTAGTTTAAAATCAAGCAAATGGAAATATTTTCAATCATTCTCTTTTAATTTTACATAAATAAAGAAGTAGGTGGATAAAGAAAGTCATATGTATGTAAATGTAATTTGATTAAAACATCAAATATGAATCGCGTTCTAAATTAACAAGATAGATATATATTATACAATTAAAATATGGAATACAACAAAGTAATGACCTTTTTGTAAATATAATACAAATTTGATGAAAGATATATGCTCAAATTTCTCATCCACACTTACTACTTTATAAAACAAATTTTGTTATATGAATGCAAATATAAATATCACCTGCAATTTTCTGGCAAATCGTGAACTAAATTACATTATCTGAATTTAATATTACTCGACATTATATACACACACACACACTATATATATATATATATATATATATATATATATATATATATATATATATATATATATACATATATACTAAAATATAATCGATATGATGATTATGACGATTTATATTTGCATTTATGACTTTATTATTCAGTATTTTTAAAAATTTTTTTAAATAAATTTTTTTTTAAATAAACATTTTTTTAAATAAAAATGATAACGATATATATTTATATAAAACTGAAACACTTTGCACATGGTCTTAAATACGAAGAATCATATGCGTTATATGAACGGAAGTTTTTATTTCTCTATATGACAAAAAAGTGCTAAGAACCGCAGCCAGATGTACATACATATGTGCTGAAAAAATTAAATATTTATTATAATGTTCAAATGTTTCGATTTGATCATCAAGAAAATTTGTATCACGATTTTATATGTACTATTTTATTTTATTTTATTTTATTTTTAAATTATTTACTTGTATCAAGTTTTGTTTATATCTTTTTCAGTTTAAATTTGACTCTCAGTTATAAGTAATACAAAGATAATATGAATCACTTTGCGAATTATAGCGCTTAATCTCAATTGTAATCTCACTGAAGGTCTGGTCTGATGTCAAACCGAAACGTTTAAACATTGTAATAAATATTTATTTATTTATTTTTTATTATATTTATTTTTTCGACACGTACATCTGGCTGCGACTTTACTCCTTTTTTTGTCATACATTGATTTATAATCATAGGAGCTTTTTGCAACTTCTTTATTTCTCTCTGTCTTTTCTTTTCGTTCTTCTCTACTTTATTTTGTCGTTGCTTATTCGAATGACGACCTCTGATCCTGTATAGAATACTACTCAATCTAACAAGCTCGCAATCACTTAAAATTTAAGATATTACGCATTTGTGCATAGTTCCACGAATAGTTGAGAATTAAGGTAGGAGAGGATGGTAGTATGTTGGCTTGCGACTCTTCTCCATAATGTAGAAAGCGTTAGGTTTACCATTTCCAGGGAAGTTCTTGCGAATACTGGTGGAACCTGTCTTGGCGATTGGCGCATAATACGACATAGCCGCTTTCTTCCGATGTTTCTTCATCTTTGGTACAGTGTTTCTCGAACCGTAGAGTTCATTGATCAAATGGATTCTATGCATGCTCAAGTCGTCCAATCTATACGTCTTGTTATCAGTGTTATTACTGTTCTTCTTCATTGATTCGAACTTGGTGTCATCATTATTGTCCGGATAGCTGAGTCTTTTGTCATTGTTTCTAACATTTTTTGTCATTAGTTGCTTTTGGTAAAGATGAAGCTTGTTTTCGAGACCACGATACTCGTAATTGGTCATATCAAAAGGATAAAGCTTATTCAATATAGTCTTGGAGAATATTTGCTGCTGGTTCTTTATATCCTCCAGTTTCTTCCAAGTCTGATCAATTCTTAATTGATTTAGTCGTTTCTTTTCTGTCACCTTCTTAACGATAGGTAAATTCCAATGATAAATCTTAACAGGTTTACCGTTTCCTTGGAATCCTATCGGAAGATTTGAACTAGTTTTGGTTTCTTTGTCATTGTTAACGGATTTGTGAGGCTTTGTAATAGTATAGTACGGAGGACTAGCCGGAAGCTTTACGATGTAAATATGGCTGTCCCGATGGCCATGATGACGACTGTAAGGCTGTAAGAGCGTTTGCGAGCTAAGTCCTAGTGGTTCAGGTCCAGCTAATCGCTTTTTGTGATGTCCGCCGAATATTTGAACAGATGTCAATCCGAGTCGATTTAAAATGGCTGCGTTACTCGTTTGAACAGTTTCAAAACTGGATGAATTTTTCTCAGCAGTAATCAATGTAGCAAAACCACTGGAAAATATCAGCAGAAAGCCACATAAAAGAAATAATCTGAAACAAAAATCATCATACATTATGTTATATTTATGTATGTTGATAGATGTATCAATTTAGTAATAGATCTAGATAACCAATGAATGGTATGGATCAAATCAGAAAAAATGTGATATGTGTATGTGTGTGTATATGTCATCATGTGTGTATCAAATGCGATACAATATGAAATAAAATTAATGTTTTCATGTGGCAAAACAATCTTACTAAACTACTTACAAGAATGGTCTGAAAATGTTACATAAAAAAGTATAATAACAAAAGATGCATTTATACAAAAGCATTAGAAAATTGTTCTTTTTTTTTTAATAAACTGGTTTAAAGAATACGTAAGAAAAAAAGTCAAATAAGGTTTAAAAGAAAAGGAAGGTAAATTAGTGATGGAAGAAGAGAAGCATACACATGTTTTTAAGTAGTTTTTGAGGTTTTTAGCAAATTCGGCTACTCGCACTATATTGCACTGGTACACACTCAAAGTTGCTGTACATAAAGTATCTAAATGCAATAGCATAATATAAACACTTGTCAATGAAACAACTAATGTATATTTTGCTAAATATTATTAACAATATCATTATCAAATATTTAAACGTTCAAGATATCTATACATATATTACATTATACAACTTCATAGCAGCCTTTTGTGTATACCAGAGCGGTGTAGTGCGAGTAATCGAATTCGTTATTAAAGAGTAAAAAAGCTCAGGAAGACCCGACAAACGATTGAAACGTTAGCAAACAATTCATCATTTTTTATTGTTGAAATTAGAATCATAAATAGTTTTGCAACAGTAATTTATCAATTGCGATTCGACTATCCTGCGAGATATAACAGATAATCTATCAAATGGCTCTAATGATTAAATTGCTATATAAAGGCGCGTGTGCGGAGTCAAAAGCGCGCATATCCGTTATACTCGAGTAGACGCACGTGCTTGTGTATCAAATCGTTGTCGTTCATTTATGCTTATTAAATCGATGTCGACAACCAAAGTTCAAATCACTTCAATTTACATTTAACTACAATTTAAAACATATAACACAAAGCTTGTTTTGAAATTTATTATAAAAATGTTATTGTTAACATCCGTACAGGCATCCAAAATTATTAACTACAATTAAGCATATGTTTCAACACCAATATAAAATATAAAGTAATTAAATTTCCTCATAAAAGTATTCTGCAATAGTCTTTTGCTCGAAAACGATCAAATTGTCACTAGACATCAATAATACATTTGGTTGGTAAAAAATCTAAAATTACAATTTTATTAATTAATTTACTCATTGCATAAGGTGTTGTTAGTATTTTAACGTTATACTTAATATTCTATTGTACAAATAAATTTAAAAAGTTATAATTTTACAATTACAATATTTTTGTTCTAACTGTTGATTTATTTTGTTTACATTTAATTTTTAATCTTCAAAAATATGCATATTGTGTTTTGAAATTCAAGTAAAAAATGTAGTTAAATTTTTTAAATCATATAACATTGAAACACCTGCATACACAAAATTTTTTATCTTAAAATGGTTTAAAAACTTTCAATTACATTAAATTGTCGTTTAACACATCAACCTTCGTTTTGCAACTGCTGAAATATTCATGAGTGAACCAGTCATATCAGCCATATACCAATGCACACCGAATAAATCCCAGACTCCGCGTCTTCCCTTCATATCGGCTCTTTGACCTCAGCACCATTCTGCATAACGGTGCATAGACTTGGACGTTTGCCTATTATGTCACTACATTCGCGCGTAAAGAAGTTGCTTTAGTACCGCAAATTTAACTTGAACAAAAATTTCTTAAGTTTTCTCAAGAGACGCATGATTTATCTTTATTTACTCATAATAAAAAACACAAATAGTAAACAAAAGATGTTAAAGTATAGAAATTTGCAATTCTAGGAGATTGATTTAAAATTTTTTTCGATATATAAAATATAATATGTTTATAACTTATAACCAAATTATTGTGATATATTTAAAGAAACCAATACGTACACAATTAAATAATGCGACTTTTATTCACATTGCGACTATTCAGCTTAAAATCAGCTCGTGTTCTTTAATAAAGAAAATAACTAACCCGTATAACAAAGGTGCAAATTACAGAAAAAACTTGGCACTGTGCAAATTTCTATCATCCATGTAATGATTTGTGACGAAGATGATTATGCTGTTGACATGCAGCGTGCGTGAATAAAAATAAACGCGCTCTCCATGTTAAAAGCGTGTTCACAAGTTTGAATCTATACACTTGTACTACCTTTCTTTCGTTCATTTTTTCCCCTCGTAATAACGCCAGTCTTTCCCACCCTCTACACAGACAGTGACTAATACACAAAGCGGATGGTGCTCTTACCGGCGATTGCCCATGTTGAGAAAAGTGAAGCGAAAATAAGTGTATAGCAGCACGTGGATAATTTCTAACAAAAAAATATGCTTGTATCCATATGCGAAATTACTTGATGTCTGGAAATTCGTCGCATCGATAAAACATGTCCTTTGGATATCAACAGAGTTCACAATAGGAAAATGTCACGCTATATATCCGATAATTTATATATCCGCTACTTAACGAGTTACTGAAATAATGTTTTAAGAAATTTTTATTTGAAAATAATAATCAAATATTTCAGGATAAAATGTACATCAGTATTTGATTGTTTATACAATAATATTCAAGATTTCAGACTATTTGTAGCATTTCAGGGATTATAAGCAATATATCAAAGCGAGTATTTAATGCAATACTCATTTAATGCAATACTCATTTAAAAGTGGCACAAAAAAATGATTTGATGATGATTTATGTGCGTCATATATTCGAAAAATCGAAATTATGGCACATTATTTCCTCAATTGATACTTTCTTGACGCTCATTCGCAATAACATTGTACAAATTGTGATAACATTTAATAAGGAAGAGTCTCCAATATACATCGATATGTAAAAATATTTATTTTAAACTTTTAGCTAAAAAATAAAATTTGCAAAAAACAAAATGTTATATCGATATAGTGCCTTTCCTTTAACACATTAATTATATTTTGAAATAAAAACTTTTAAAAATAAACTTGTAGCTATTTCGTTTAAACCTAAAGCCTAAGCTCAAAAGAAAAAAATAAAATGGCATGGAATGTAACAGACTTAAAAAAAGAGAAAAATTATGGAATGAACGAGAATGAGGGAGATGGGAGCGGAATGGGGGGAGAGTGAACATATGGAATGGCCGAAGAGACGAAAAGTCAATATTGTGCGCGATGGGATATGTCGGAATTATTGCTCTATTAAAATTTATCGAGTATCAAAAGCACATCTCGATAAACTTTTTCATCATGCGCATGTCAATTATAGCTTTCTAATATTCTACGCATCGCAAAAAAAATTGAAATTACGAAGGAATGGTTAGCAAATGATAAGCACGCACAAAGCTTTTTCAGTTGTTAAATGTTGAGCTCGATCATTACGTGTAACTTGATGTGTGTGTTCGGTATCAAATAAATAAATTTTTAAATAACACAAAATAAATAAAATTATCGACATTTCGACTGTGCTCAATTGATTTACATGATTTACATAAAAAGGCACTTATTTTTCATAATATTTGGAAGAGTTTTTACTGTAAATCAAAGATATTAAAAAATTTCTGAATTACAAATTACATAAATGTAGAAATAGAATTTTGTGTGTATATAAAAATATCAAAAAATACCGCACATTTATAAATTTACAAAACATAGATGCAATCAAAAATATTCGTAATGTTTCTATTGACTATGCCTGCTTTAAACGTGTTTCACAGAGAAACAATATAAGAAACAGCACTCAAGCATTAGATATTCAAGAAATTGCTAAGAATATTCTCAGTAATGCAAAACATAAAAATATAAATTTACGCTGTTAATATGTTTGTTTTCTAATTAATCATTTAATTAACAGGATTTATTTTCGGTAATATAAATTATTTTTATGTATATATAAAAAAATAATATATTAAAAAATTTTTATTAGTTTTTTTAATCAAAACATTATGTACATGAGATGCATCAGGATTTAAAAAAATTGAAATAAAGAGAAATTGAGAAATTAAAATAAATTAAAGAAATAAGTAGAATATAATTTTACCTAAATTCTCTGCACATATTTCTCAATGATTTACTTTGCACAAATAACTTGGACAAACGCACACAATTGAATTTTATTGTTTGAGTCTAAAATTTACAAAATGTTGGAGTACTAAACGGACACAAACTTGATACAAAACACACGAGCGCGTGATCACGACTGGGCTCTCACTGACTCCAGACAGGGCAAGTACAAGTTGGAATGGCACGAAATGCGTCGGTGAGTACCGAAGACGGCCGAAGTTTCATTCGAAAAGCCGATCGTCGTAGTCTCACGAGTCCTTTTAGTCGCAATTCGCATCTTGTGTGATCGTATCTGAACTCTTGAAGAAAGCAATATACAGGAAAAAAACAGCTCTCTGTTTTTTATTATATACGAATATACAATTTTAAATTTTTATAAAAAAGTATTTGCAAAAAATCTTTTTGTTAAACAATTCTTAAGATAAAAAATCATATAAAGTTTGAAATTTTTTATTTCGAGTTTAATATATCTGAAACTTATAAAAACTCTCTTTGCATAAATATGACTAAGCCTCTATTCTTAGGAGATGCTCCCTTAAGAATTTGGATTTTGTAACTTAACTTGCAAACTTGATAAATTAAATTAAATTACATTATAATGTTAAAGAAGCATCAAGTGCAATTATTACAAGTCTAGCGCGAGATTTAAATTTATTATTTTATTATAAATGTTATAATGAATAAAACACAAAAAATTTTATTTATTTATTACATTAGTTTAAAAGAAATATGTATAATTTTACGTGGAATCTAAAAATTATCAAACCGTTAAAGAAAGTGTGTATTGAAAAACAAGGTAATTATGTAAAAAAATAACTTACAAATGTAATTTTTTTAATAAATATATTTTCTGAAATAATGGTTTTGCAGAAACTAACTTACGTTCATATGTTAGTAATTATTAAAATTATTGAACGATGGAATAACACATAGGAATAGATGCGAATACAACATATATATACCAGTTATAAATGTATTAAACTGTACCATATAAATTGCCATTTTTGCAAATCAGAAAAAACTGTATTTTCAAAAAAAATTATTTAATCAAAATATTAGCAACATTAACAGTAATATTTTTCTCAAAATAAGATATTAAATATCAAAAGCTTATATTAATGTTTCTACCTGTCTCATCTGCTCTATGTTCCAATTTAAATTTATTTATATACAAAATATTTGTAATTATTTTTGAAGACTATACTGTGTTTATTTTTATAGAAAAAAATAAACAATACTAAAAACAACTCAATAATTAGTAATAACTGAAGAATATAATACCAAATAAATTTTAAATAGCACAATCAGAAATATGCTCTATATCAACTTTACTAACCATGATCAGTTTTCAACTGATCAGATATTGGCAATTTTATATGGTATAATATAACATAACGTCTATATCATGGGCTTACAAGCAAAAAGAACTAAGTCAAAAATTTGATTTGAAAATGAGATTTTAGCTAATATACTGCAAGAACGCACTAAGGGAGTATCTTAAGAGATGTATTTTTATTTGAAAGTACCTGAAAAGCAAAATATAATTTATAAATGCATTCAAACTTTAAATTGCAAGTAATTCTGAACCTAATTTTTAGACTTATTGCTTTTTACTTGTAAGCTCACGTTATATGTTTCATTATATATATATAATGTATATATATCTGTAACGTGGTAGGTAAACAGTTGTAATTCTAAAAAAGATGCTTGTAGAGTTTATATTATATCCAAGTTATATAATAATATTTGTTATGTAATAAAATTGAATAAATATACATTTATTCATGTATCTCTTCTTAAATAATATTTGATATCATTTGAATGTTATTTTTGCTAAATTTAATCTATTTGTTAAAATTTTCCCTAAATTTGAACTGAAAGCATTACGATTGATTACCTCCACGGTACAGATATATATGTATTTATGTGTGTGTGTATATATATATATATATACACATACATAATTGCAATTCCAATGATGTGTGCTTCATTCATATACACGTTTATCGAGCTGCTGTTTTAACTGAATTGTTTCGAGTTTAAGCGACGATTGTACATCCTGAAAGCTACGTACATCACTTACAAGTAACTATTAACACTTTTCAAGTTAAATGCAATTTTTTATTTATATCAATCATTGTATTTATAATTGATCAATAAAGGGATATATATTTATGTTTGGAATCAATTTTAAAAATGACTTCTCCGATACTGAAGTTTAGATTAGTAATAATTCTATGGAAAACAAAAGTCATCATTTTTTCGGACAATTTCGGAAAATTTTTGGACTTTTTGAAGTCTAGAAGGTTTGATTTCGATATAAATTTATGTGTACAAGTTGCTAGCCTAAAAAATTATAATCCTCGCACATGAACTCACAGCTTAATGTACATTCTACAAGTCAGATACTATATATTGTTAACAATTTTCAATTGTCTTGTTGTCTTTAATTGTGTTTAATTTAATTTTTTAATTGTTAAAATATTGTAAAGCAGTACTTAAAGATAAAAAAATTTAGCTTTTCATAACCATTAATTACTTAATAGTTAATACAAACTAATCCAGAAGTGCATGATTTGATATAAATAATGCAAAATAATATTAATATTATAATGTAATAAAACAAATCACAGGAGGTTTCCATTTAGATCATTTTCGATTAATCGTTATGTTATATTATAAATATAATGCTACGATAAGAAAACGTAATATTCTGTGTTAATCAGATATATCAGAATTGGGTATCAATTGAATATTTTAACATAATTTCTTCATTCTATATTTACTTCTTTGACTTTATTTTTGGATCTTTTACTTTGGCTTTAAAGAGAAAATCATCATTGTTGTGAAACAAGAAAGTCACCTTATATTAGCTCGTATTTCTTAGTGGATAAAATTTCGAATTTTATAATGTATGTTAAATCTTTTTCATTTCGATTTATTATACACACGTTTATTATGAGTTTGAATCATTTATTATTGATATTAATGATATAAACTACTGTTTTATAGCGCATAAATAAATATACAATAAGATAATACACAGAATATATATATTGCAAAGTATTGCCTTTATCAAATTTCCTTTTAAGCATATTTCTTCAAAATTTTTGATCTATAATTTTAGAACATAACATCTTATTCTGAAGCTATATAACATTGCATATACACATAATTGTAACATATAAAGAAATAAAAAAAAACAAATAATATATAATTATACTAATATATTAAATATCTGAATATGAAATGTAATTCGATATAATATTAACTTTTTGTATAGTATATAGTTGTTGTATAGTTGCATCTAGATTAAAAGGCTAAGTATCGGGACGTACAATACCGCTTAAATCAGACATTTCAGTCGCCTTACCCAATTTTATTAACAAAAGAATGACTGGCTCATTCCAGATTTGTAAAATTTGCACCATTATCGATGATAAATAAAAAAAAACATTCTTCGCCATTATTGAATCAGATCACGGAAGTACAGCACAATACATCAACGATATGTATTTTTAACACTTAATGCATTCCACTGTACTGCATATATATAAGTAGGCACAACTTATTTTTTCTTTTGAAGCATATAACTAACTCCCATCCGATTGATACTTTTGAGGCCTTCCCTAGGTCTTCTTCCATGAGTAATACATTTCCAAAGGTCGATTAACACGCCAAAACTTATCATTCACTTGCCGCAATGTTTGTGAGCCGCTTAGCACTACAAGTTGACCGGGTGAAGGTGCAATATAAATGCAGAAATTTAATAACCTATCCGATTCCGATAATTCAGTATCCAGATCGAGTGTTAAACGCATCGCCAAATATTTACTTAAATGATCCACTGTAACAAATAATTTATAATTCTTGTTGAAAAAAAACTGGTATCTTTATTTTTTTATTTGTAGTATATTTACGTTTTGCATATTTATATTTCAAACAAAAATTTTTAAGTATTTAATCTTTAAGTATAATTTTATATATATATATATATATATATGTGTGTGTGTGTATATATAAATAAAATCCTTTAAAATATTATAATTATGCAAAATATGTTACCTGTAGCATTTGCAGTCGTTTTTATGTAACGAATACTATTTTCTTTCAATGCTTTAATTAAAGAATTATCACCAGCCATTTCTGTAGGATGTGGTTTAAAAACGAGTTCAATTTCATCAAGCATTAAAGGTTCACTGGGACCTTCGCCTTCTGTATCAACCATAGAATCACCGCCACCAGTCTCTGCTTCAGCACTAGAAGAGTCATTCTCCGAATTTTGAAGACTTTTCTGTCGTTTTGGTGGTTTCAAAGTTTGATTTGCAGGGTTTGGCGATGGCGTAGTAGAATTCCTAGATGTGGTACCTAGATAAACATATGTAAAAATAATATCTGTTATTATTTTGCAGGATATCGTAATCTTAGAGATTACTTGATTACTTGCATATTTCAAAGAAATATTTGACATTTTGAGAATTATTAGTTATACCTCCACTATTCAAAGGTCCTGTTGTACTTTGAGAAGAATCGCTTTGATTTGCTACAGTCGATGTATTTGGTGGAATAGATGTACTAACGTTTGGTGTATTGTTATAAGATGCGTTACTTGCATTTTCAGATTCATTAGCATTTTTTCTGGAGCGCTGTGGACGATTCTGACTTTGTAACTTAATACCCTCTGTAATGGAGTTAACAAGTGCAGCTTGTGAATGTGATTTATTAAGTTTAGCCAAGACTCGTTCCTGATGAGCCTCATACTCATCTCTGCTTGGATAGATCTTTGAGATTAATAAATCAAAGTTTGGATCTGGTCTAAGAGATCGTTTGGAAACTAATTTCTTTCTACATGTAGGACACTCCTGTAAATAATATTGCAAAAATAATTATAAAAACGGTTAAAAAAGTAGAAACAAATGTTTTTATATTTTACTATGCATGTGTGTGTGTGTGTGTGTGTGTGTGTGTGTGTATGTGTGTGTGTGTATGTGTGTGTGTGTGTGTGTGTGTTGTGTATGTGAATTAAACTTAATTATAAAATTACATAGAATTATATAACTATATTAAATAATATATTTATAAAATCTAAGCATAACAAACTTTATGGAAGATATAAAACTGTATTATTCTTGTAAAATGAGTGTATCTTCTACGAATATTTTGGCGTATCTATAGTGTAGTAATTACAATTTTGTTCTTATGTTAAGCACTTACTTTATTACCGCTCCGTAAAGCTGTAATAATACAATCGGAGCAAAAACGGTGCAAACATTCCTTAGTAGTCATAGTTTTTTTCAACATATCCAAACAAATGGGACACATCAGTTCACTATGCAAACTTCGTGGACTAACCGCGATCTCCGTATTGTCAGTAATCGCATCCTGAGGAGTGCGATGTAATTCATATAGAGACAGTTCCCATGTTTTATTAAGGCCGACCTGTTCCGCAGATGCCATCTTGATCATATATGTTTTGTACACTGTCGTACACTAAGCAATACGCTAGCAATACCAGATACCAGAGAGTCGTGGAGACTCCTAAATCCACTGAACTATATATATATTGAAATGGGCACTGCCATGCTACATACGTTGACGGATAGCTAGCTTGAGACAGAGTCCAATATATCGCTATGCTCAGAGAAGTGCGACCGGTGTTACAAGCAGAGCTGCCAGATTGAAGACCCAAGCAACGAGTTTGGCTTCAATGCCTTCAGTGCCAAAGAGAATAATGAATGTATGATGAATATATCTCTTTTCAACTACTGCTCCGTTACTGTTCCGTTCCGCTATTTCTTTCTCCATGGGGATACAGCCTAAGATAGAGTGGAAGGTCTTATAAGAGCATAATGTATTTTTGCATATATAGTCTTCAGTGCCCTCTCGTGAGTCTGATGCCTAACTTAATATCCCCTGCTTCTTGAGCGCTCACTAAACAGTTATAGTAATGGCGCGTTAGCAAGGCATAAATCTATCAACATTAATATTATATTAATATAATTATTAATAGAAAGAAAAATAATATAATATTTATATGAAATTATAAATTTTATTTTATAATAAACATACATATGGTGAAAACAAATTTGTAGTAAGTACACCACGGACTAAGGAATAGAGGGACGGAGCACAAGCTGTACCGGGGGAGCACGTTTGCGGCGGGGGGGCGGCGGCCGATATTCGTTTAGTAATCACCACACATAAAACTCACTAATTGCGTATGTGTGAGAAATAAAGTCAGATCCTGCGCACAATAAACAAAATAGGAATAGAA